AATAAAAAAAAAGATAGATTTGTCAAACTCTTAGAAATTCAACTTTTTACGCTTATGTTTAATAGTAAAACTCCATGTATTACAAAGGAACTTCAATTTACTTAAAAAGGGATGTGTCGAATTAGGTTTTATGATAATAATAGACTCATAATATGGTCGAATTGCTCAAAAAATTAAATATTGTTGCCACGAAAGAATAATTGTTGGCACACCACATCAACATCTGGTGCAGATTTTAGGCAGTTTTTATTTTGGCTATAACTTTTGATCTCAAACACGAAATAATGCAAACAATATCGTTGTAAAGCTTTAAAAGTCTACTTTTTAATCCAATTAGAATTAGGTTAAAATCTACTGTAGATTTTAAGATATGGTTGTTTGAGTGAAAGGGTGTTGGTTTTCAGCCGAGTTTAGTATTTTGGCTCCTATCTCATTCGTTTAAAATCAGAATTGGCTTACTATATATTGTTGGAAAGCCTATTTCAAGGGTTATTCAACCAAGAAAGATTTAAATTAAAGTTATGGGCCACGAAAATAAGATTTGCTCGGTTTGAACTATGGTCAAGAAAAGAGAAAATTGGGTTATTATATGTGAATTTTGGGCTATGAAAAGGTATTAAATGAATGTTTAATTTGGATTAGGAATGAATTGGATTAGGTAGATTAAAATAAAAATGGACTAGGAGTTTACGCTATTCTTACTTCCGATGTGTAACGCGACCAACTGGCGGTAAAAGGTTATTAATTACTGAGTGTGGGACGGGAAGAAACACAATTAGGTATCTAAAATCATGTCAATAGTAGTTACTTTCTCTATTATTATAAATTTCCTACTTATAAAGTAGTTTATAATTTAAGGTTTGGCTGAAGCCTAATTAAGCATGATTTGGATGATTCCTAGTTTGGTTTGTTCATATATTTGTTATTATCAATGTCGAATGTTGGGCGATTTGTTGAAAATGTTTATTAAGACCGAGTCTAAAATCATGTTAGTTAATGATACTTATTTTTATGTATTAGGAAAACATGATGGTCGAAGTGACACATGTTAATAGAATATATACCTTATTATTTTAATGTGATTTGCAATCAGTTTACAAGGGAATGGTTCATAAATATATAATCTTTCAACGTCATCGTATGTGCACTCTAAAAATAAATATGTTTCCATCAAGCATATTTGAACTTTCCTTAATATATATGAACGAGAGATGATAATCGTAACTTTAAAATAGAATGATACTAAGGTTGTTTTTATCTTAATAATCACCTCCAAATCTGACCCGATTTGAAGAAAAAAGTCATATATGAGTCAAAAAAAAAAAATAAAAAAAAATTCAAACTCCGAATAAGATTTAGGTCTAACTCTAAACTTACATAGAATTGAGTTCGGGCCTAACCCATACACTTCAATTTTGCTTTTCCCAATTCTATATATATATGTGATAAAACCTAACCCTAATATACTTGAACAGTTCTTCGCCGCTTTTATCACTTTATTGCCCCTATCTTTTTTTCTCCTTTCTCTACTCAAATCTGAAATAAAAAATCTAAAGTTTTTAAAGTTAAATCGCCATTTTTTTTAATATCTTCAATCTTCTTTCTTTCTATTCTCTCTTTCATCATTTAATAACAAGCCCTAGAATTGAAAATTACGCTAAAGAACAAGCAACATGGAATAATAACCATATATATCCTTAAAATAAGATATTTCACACCGATATATACCTTCAAAATGTCGGTGATTCATGGTATTTTTTTATATTCAAATAATACTTGTTATTATTGTTGTTGTTGTTGTTGTTAATTCAATATTTTATTTTCTCGGCTACGCTCGATCTTCATAGTTGCAATCCATCTTTCTTGGTAATTTCAATATTATTTTTTTTAGCTACGATCTTCATAGCTGCGATCCATCTTTATTGGTAAGTATGCTCTCGTTCTTCCCTTGTAAATCTTTTTTTGATTCATATGTATAAATTCTTAGAATGAGAAGGAATAATGTCTAAAAATAAAATTCAATGTGCATATTTTTTTTAACTAAAATGTGAAAATTTGATCTTATGCTGGTAAAATTATTCAATTTTCTAGAACATATATTAATTAATTAATTAAATAAAACACAAAGCATTTTTTCTGCATTATAAACATTATATATATAATTAATTTTTTTTTTTGAGGCAAAGAGGGGAAAATATATTACTCAATATCCATTTCCGCAAGCCTAATCACGCCTTCCGGAATGGTCCAAAACAAACATTCTCAACAGTTCCAGTTTGGCACGATCTAGCAAGCAAATGTGCCACCGTGTTTCCCCCCCTTTTAACATGACTAAAAAGACAAGAACACATAACAGAAGATAAAGACATAATACGATCAATAAAAATAAAATCATAACTGTAGCCCTTGCAATTGCCTCTGATTTTTTGTATCACACTCAACGCATCACATTCCATCCAAACATTGGAGAAGCCTTGCTGCACTGCCATCTCCAACCCAAAGCAAACAGCTGCTGCCTCAATCACAGATGGCTCCCAGCGGCCAGTAATCTTCTTGAAGCAGTGAAGACTACCTCACCCTGATCATTCCTGCCTACCACACCCAATCCTATCTCGCCTGACCTGAAAACAGCAGCATCCGTATTGATCTTCAGCACACCAGGAGGTGGTTTCATCCACGCTGAAACAGAAGGCCCCACGTTGCCAGCCTTGCCACAAAAGACCTTCAAAGCATACTCATTATAATCATGCAAGTATTTCACGAAGCTGGCAGCAAGTGCTTCAGCATTGCAAGGAATATGTGCATAGATGATTTTATTTCTACTAGTCCAAATAGCCCAATCCAGCGCTGCAAACACCGAAAGTTCATTGCCATCCAACTTTTCAGCCACATATAAAAGCACCTCACGAAAGCTGCCATCCCCTTTGTCACGTATCAACTCCCAAAATTGACTATTACACCATATCTTCCTGGCAGCTGTACATCGAAACAACACATGAGAGATGGTCTCCTCCTCTAAAGAGCATTGCTGGCAACCAACGTCCGTAACAATGTGACGTTTATGCAATTCCACCTTCACAGCCAAGGAATTATCGAGGGCCTTGCAGAGAAAATGCTGGAGTTTTGGAGGCCCCTTCACAGACCACACAATCCTCCAAGCTTCATCCAAAACAGGCTACCCACTGCCATATATGCCCAGCCAGTAGGCCGTTCGAAAGGTGTAATTCCCATCCTTGGTCAAGCCCCAAAACTGAGTATCAGCGGGAGTATGAGGAGACAAAGGAATTGTGAGGATGTTTGGGATGTCCTCCGCACGCATATGAAGATTTAAGCTCTCTCTATCCCACTGTCCCACCTCATGATTAATCAAGTCACCCAACATTATCTCTAGATCATGGAGGCTATTCGGAGGGGGGGACGGAGAGGTACAACTGTGACCATCAGGCATCCAACTGTCCTTCCATACCCGAATATTTCTGCCATCACCAACCCGCCATCTCAAACCCTCAAGCAACAAAGCCTTTGCTCCCTATATACTCCGCCACGTGTAGCTCGGATCAAAACCCCGCCTCGCCTCCACAAAAGAAGAGTGCTTGAAATACTTTGCCTTTAAGACCCGGAACAATAAAGTATCACCCCCCTTCATAAGACGCCAACCTTGTTTCGCAAGAAGATCCAGGTTAAAATTTTTTAGATCCCGAAAGCCCATCCCCCCTTTATTTTTTTGGCATACAAAGGGAGGCCCAACTCTTCCAATGAAGCTTTCGATCATCCCCATTTCCCCACCAAAATCGGACAATAATAGTATGAATTTCATCAATAATGCAATCCGGAATTTTAAAAATACTCATCAGATAAGTAGGAATCGCTTGTGCTACGGCTTTAATCAAGATTTCTTTGCCCGGCTTCGACATAAATTTTTCTTTCCACCCCTGCAATTTTTTCCAGATACGTTCCTTTAGGCATCCAAAAATGGCTTTTTTCGACCTCCCAACCACCGTCGACATTCCCAAATACTTCTCATGTTTATCAACTTCCTTCACCCTCAGTAGATTACAAATGTTATTCTTCACTTCTACAGACACTCTTCTACTAAAAGTAGCTTCAAACTTACAGAAATTAATTTTTTGTCCCGAAGCCTCCTCGTACGTTTTAAGAATCTCAACAATTTTTTAGCATTCCACCATATTTTCCCGGGCAAATAACATACCGTCGTCTGCAAAAAATAGATGAGAAATGCGGGGACCCCCATTACAAATTTTGATTCCATGAATGACATTATCATTGACAGCTTTCCGCATAAGCCTTGAAAAAGCATCGGCCACCAAAAGAAATAAATAGGGTGAAATAGGATCACCCTGTCGAAGCCCACGTTGGGGAATGATGTTTCCAAAAGTTCCTCCATTAGCTCTGACTTTAAAATTAAAGCTAGATAAGCACTCCAAAACATTTCCACACCACATACTACTGAAACCCATTTTTTCCATCACCCTAACCACAAAGTTCCACTCAACACGGTCATATGCTTTCATCATATCTAACTTTAACGCCACAGAGCCATATCTCCCTCCCCCTCCTCTTCATTGCATGGAAAACCTCAAAAGCAATCAATGCATTATCTGTTATCAGTCTACCAGGGATGAAAGCATTTTGTTCCGGGGATATAATATTGGTGAGGAAAGGTTTTAGACGGTTTGCAAGCATCTTCGTGATAATTTTGTATATAACATTGCATAAACTAATTGGACGAAATTCAGTTATCTTGCGGGGCACAGAACATTTCGGAATAAGAACAATGCAAGTATTACTTATATCCGAAATATCAGTTTGACCATTCCACCAACTAGTTATAAAGCTAACAATGTCATTACACAAAATATGCCAGAATTTCTGATAAAAGAGAGCATGCATACCATCTATTCCCGAAGCTTTGTTCGGGTGCATGTCAAAAAGGGCTCTGCGAACCTCCTCCATATTAGGCTCCTGGGTAAGTGCCTCATTCATACTATCCGAAACAACACAATGTACCCAGCAAGGGCTGATTCAATATTCGTTGTCCCCTCCGAAGCATAAAGGCTAGAAAAATAATCTGTAATTATGCCCTGAATTCCCTGCGCATCTTGGACCCAGTGTCCCGAACTGTCCTCAAGCCCCTCTATAAAATTTCTTTTTCTCCGAGACGAAGCTTTGTGATGGAAATAAGAGGTATTTTTGTCACCATCACGCAGTTCATTAGTCCTAGCACGCGCATGCCAATATGACTCCTCAAGAAGATGCAATTTGTCAAGCTTTTCTGAAATTTGTTTGCACCTCTCTAGCTTCGAACCATCCATGTTCCCTTGTTGCACCTCTTTCAACTCGGCCTCTGATTTTTTAATTTTTTGTTTGAGACTCCCAAATGTATTGTTCGCCCATCGGCCCAGCGCGGCAGCACAAGACTCAATCTTACCCTGAATCGGAACATTCACACCTTCGTTCCATGCAGCTCGAACCACATCACCACAATCAGGATTGGATAAACAATACGCCTCAAATCTGAAAACCCGCTTTTTCTGTCTATTTTTTGCTCTTCTTCCAGCATGAAGCAAGATAGGCGCATGATCTAATCTCTTTATATATAATTAATTAGTTAATAAACGTATGCAAATTTATCCATAAATAAGTGGATAGTTAAAAGGATAGAGAATGAAAAAAATGTAATAATAATTATTTTTTTCGCTTTAAAAGGGGCTTGGCTGAATTTTTTTTCATATGAAGTAAAATGTGTAGTATTTGGTGCCGATATCAATATTATTTTATGGATGAATATATGGATAATAAATAGCTATAATTATTGAAGTATGTCTTTTGTTTTTGTTTTTGTGTAATTTTGATCCAAAAATAATATCAATAAATAAAAAAAAATATATATATTAAAATAGTATATTATTGAAAAATATGTTATTTAGATGTAAAAAATGTGTAAGAAATAATCTATACACTCAATATGTCAATTATATAGAAAATATTGCGTTATCAAATTTTGTATGCTTAAATTACCTACAAATTATTCAATGCTTAATGCGATGGATGCCCATTTGATCTAATAATTCGATCTTTGATATCAATCCGCTCAATGCTTAAATTACCTTTTACATTTTTAATAAGGAAAATTTTCCTTTTACATTTTTAATAAGGAAAATTTTCCCAGAGTAATCCGACCTTTGCCTCATCCGCCCAAAATAATCCTACCCTTTGATTATTTTTTTAATAATCCAACCATTGATATCAATCCGCTCAAAATGGTCTCAATCGGTATGTAACTTGTTATAACAAGTTACCTGACACGTGTCGGCCTGTGATTTGTCAAATAAATAAAGATAAAATAAAATAAATTTTAATAAAAGTTAAAGTTTTTTAAAGAGAAAAAAAAAATCAATCTCCTTCCCCGCCACCTAACTTCCCTGCCCCATGGCTTCAGCTACCCAGACCCCTAACCCAAGCGCCAGCACTAGCGCCGTCGCCGGCATCGCGCCTGACCCCCTTCCCTTCCCCACGAAAACCCAGGCAACGTTTAAAGCACAGACGAGCCATAAAACCATCACCCGTCTCCGTCCCGATCCCGATCCTGGCCCCTTCCCCTTCCCCTATCTCGATTTTGGCACATTTTCCCTTCCCCATCCCGATTCCGGCCTCAATCCTCTTCTCGGCGACTCGATTTCGACCTCCCTTACCTTCCCCTCCCAATTTTGGCCTCCCTCACCTTCCCTCACCCTGATTTCGGCTTCCCAGACCACCCAAAAATAGCGACGACGTCGACGAAACCTCCGATCTCACATTCTCACGGTGGCTGGTGCTGGGGGAGGGAGTGGCTGGGTGCTGCCGGGGTTTTTTTTTTTAATTCAATTATTTTTAATTTAAAATTTTAGACAAATTAAATGATGATACGTGTACTTTAAACAAAATTATATTTTTACCTATTGATTAGGTAACCTGTCACTTGGAACCATTAGGAGCGGATTGGGTATAAAGGTCTGAATATTAAAAAATAATCGAAATGTGAGATTATTTTGGGCAGACGAGGCAAAGGTTAGATTATGTTGGGCAATTTTTCCTTTTAATAATGACAAAAATATATAAACCAATCACAGGCTTCAACATCAGCTTAAGCTTTTGGTTTAGTTGGTCCATTAAGATGGTTGCTGATGGTTGAAGCTCGTTATTGATTTATATACATCATCAAATAATTTTTCTCTCGCATGTTTTTATTGTTTTAATATATTTCATATTTTTCGATGTCTGGTGAGTCGATTCATTAAATTTTGTATCTTTCTTTTATATTACGATTTCTATATTGTTTTTTGGTAGCTTTTAGATCCAAAATTACTATTAAAATAGTGATGTATGATTGTCTTACAAATATAATTATATTCAAGTGATTATTAATTCTTAAGTAGTAGATTTCTTGAGCAGCAAATTAAAGTGAAATAACATAGTTATCTATTAAAAGTACATTATTGTAACAATCAATGATATCATATGTATAAATATCCTACATTATCAAAACGGGTTATATGCCTTTTATAAAGTACTCAGTATGTGATAGGATTTAACATTCAAGCATAAAAGTATATCTTAAAATTTATTAACAACCCGGGGCATTGTCCGGGCACAAAACTAGTAAGTGATAGGATTTAACATTCAACGCGCCACATAAGCAAGTATAGTATTTCGACCAATAAAAAATATGATTACATTTTATTTTAGAATTAAAAAAAAATTTAATCGCCACAAGAGCAAAATTAATGAATAAGGATTGAAAATTCAAAATTCAATTGTCACGTATGTAAAAAACATAAAAATAAAAATAAAATAAAATAAGTGATTGAGGATTTAAATAGAAAAATTATCTTTAATTTTCAAAATTAATTAAGTGTCATCAACGAATGAAGGTGCATTAGAAATTACGTAAAAAATAATTATACATTTCAAATAAAAATTATTTTATCAAAAATATTTTTGGTATTTATATATCTATAATGACTGAGATAATACTTTTAATTTAGATTTGTTTAAAAGAAATTAATCAAAATTGCTTTTATAAAATCATAGAGACCAAAAGATCACAAAAAATATACAAAATGTTACACAAAAAAACTTTGAATCGCACAGATTTAACATTAGTTTGATAGAATTGAAGGAAATGGAAGGAAAGAGAGTGTAGAGAAAAGAAAGGGGGCCGTCTCCTTAATTGGATAAAGAAAGGGGGAAGGAAAAGGAGGAAAATGAAACTCATCACCTTTTCCATTCCTTTCTATAATAAGCATATTGCCTTCAAAATTGAAGAGATTTGAAAGGAAAATGAAACTCACCTTTCCCCTTCCTTTTCTCCTTGTTCCATCTTTCTCTCTCCCCCCCCCCCCCTCACTTTCTCTTCTACTTAACTATCCAAACAAAGTGTAAATATAATATAATAATATTAATCAATATAATAACAATACTCCCTCTATTTTTAAATGTTTGTCATATTTGCATTTTGCACATTTTTCAATGCAATATTGTGACTAATATATTTCAAGTTATATATTACAAAAAAAAAATTAAAAATTACATATTTATAAATTAAAAATCGAGACGAATCTAACAAGATTCCACATGACTATATTTTGAATCATAGACAAGACATTAAAGTTTAAGATTTCATTTGCATTTGAAACTCCCAAGATTCTAAATGGGACAAACAAAATAAAATGGAGAGAATACTAATTAATACTACACATAATTATAATAATAATTAATATAATAATACAGAGTAATATTTAATAATTTAAATAATTATAATTACTACGTATTACTTAATTATATTTAATATAATTAATTATGATTGTTAATAATACAAATAATAAGGATGATGATAATAATAATAATAATAATAATAATAATAATAATAATAATAATAATAATAATAATAATAATTCCTTTGTTTTCTTTTATTTGTTCCATTTTAGAATCTTGAAAGATTCTAATGTATATAGAATATACTTTATTGTCTTTTATATTTTTCAAAATATAGTCACGTCATCATGTGGGATCTTATTAAATTCGTCTCGATGTTTTATTTTCAAATATATAATTTTTATAATTTTTTGTAATACGCTTGAGATTTATTAGTTACAATATTGATTAAAAATTGTGTAATAAGCAAATTGGACAAACATTAAAAAAAACAGAGGGAATGATGATTATCCCTCCATTTTCTTTTGTTTTTTCCTATATAGAAGGTGATTCTAATGCAAATAGAATCTTAAACTTTAATGTCTATTATAGTTCTCCATATCATATTTATGTGGGATCTTGTTGGATTCTTCTGGATTATTAGTTTTCAAATGATATCATTAAAGCAATAGAGGACATCATAGATACAATATAGGATATCATCAAAACAATAGAGGACATCATTAATGAATGCAATAGAGGACATGACATATACAATATATGATATCATCAAAATAGTAAGAGACATCATTACAGCAATAGAGGACATCCAATGCACAATACATGATATCATCAAATGAATAGTGGATAACAGAAATGATATACTCTAGCATAATTAAACAAAAAATGATATCCTGTAACCAAAAATGCATATCAAGTAACAAAACGATGGTATCCTCAATAATAATATACGAATCATCTATTGAATAAGAGACATAACAAACCTAATAATTTTGGACTCTAATTTTCTCTTTGAAGTTTTCGGTGATTTTCTGCAAAACATAATAAATAACAATCAAATTTTCAAATACAAATTGTAATTCAACTATAAAATTAACAATAATAATTAACCTAAATAACATAAAATCAACACAAAAAATTATTCCTCAATAATAATAAACAATCGAAGAAGAAAATTCAAAAGTAACAATCAACACAAAAATAACTTCATCTATAATAATCAACAATCAAATTTGCGAAACTAGAAAATCAAACATCATTTCATCAACACCAACTAATATTAAAAGAAAACAGGAAAACCTAAATCAAAAAAAGAAAAAGAAAAAGAAAAAACAGAAGAGTTCAAATGTATACATAGAAGCAGAATTGGACTTAACGACATCATTATCTCCGGAATTTATGGCGAAAGATTCGCATTCTTCAACTCATCGTTTTTTATTTGCGATGATATGTATAACTAAAATCTTTCATAAAAAACGGAAAAATAAGGAAAACGAAAATGACGAAAATGAAGTAAGAATGCAGAGAAATTAATGTGGAAGTAAAAGATATAGTAGAGAAGAAGAAGAAAATGGAGAAAACTCGTCAAGGTTGAAATGGCGGTTTTATTTTTTAAGAAGAAAAAATAAAAAGAAGAATAATAGAAGACTAATGGGTGAGACTATTTCTTGGGCTAAAAGAAGAAGTTTCTTTTTGAAATTAGGCCAAGCCAAAAAAAAAAAAAAAAAACTTTCTTTTAACAATTAGGCTGGGCCAACAAACCCAGTGGACTGACGAACTAATTGGTGAGGCTTGCCTCACCCAATAGTTTGTGATATACTATTGTTGTTCT